TGTTACATAATTATCCTAAATCACAGCTCTCATCTTGTCAATTACTTCAGAATTAATCAATAACGACCACCCAGTGGCTACAAAATTAGGTATAAACTCCTTATATAGGCATTCACAACTCTCCTCTGGATCCACCCTACCTTTTTAAAAAACTTAAATTCCCTCTTTTAACCATTTATTTTGAAATAATTATAAAAACAGTACATTGCAAAGAAATGTACAGGAATTCCCGTGTACCCTTCTCCCAGCCCCTCCCCAATGTTAACATCTTACACAGCTCTTGTACAGTATCAAGAAGCTGGTATAATCCATAGAGCTTATACAGATTTTACCAGTTATACATACTCTAGTGCATGTGTGTGCACATGCACAGAGGCATGCAGCTTGCTTGTATAGCTCTACACTATTGTATCATACGTGTAACCTTGGGTAATCACCACCATAATCAAGATACTCAACTGTACCATAAACACAACGTTCCCTCTGTTAACCCTTTATAGCCTTACTCGTCCCCTCATCCCTACCCCTGGCTGCTACTAACCTGTCCATCTTATAATTATTTCAAGAATGTTACGTAAACTGAATTATTTTTATTGATGAGTAGTATTCCATGACACTGATGTACCACAGGTTTTTAACCACTCATCCACTGAAGAACATTTGGGTAGTTTCCAATTGGGGGCTAACACAAATAAAATTGCTATGAACATTCATGGGCAAGTTTCTGCATGAAAATAAGCCTGAAATTTTCAGGATAAATTCCCAAGAGTGTAATTGCTGGCATCCTACTCTTGCAACTTCATTTTCCCAAAATTCCATTCCTGCTCCCATTTTGTAGTCAAATAGGATTACTTGTACTATTTCCTCTTTCTCTCTGGTTTCTAATCCTCTCATCATAGTTTGCATATTTATTATTAAAAGCTGCTTAAATCACTTTTTGAAAGTGGATGAAGAAATAAATTAATACAGATGGAGAACAGAGATGAATGAAGGGAAAAAATAAATAAGAGATGATAGAGTATTTTGATCAATCTCATCCCAATAAAATGTGATCTCTTTCCTATAAACCTGCATCTTATTCGATTCTCTTATAAAATGTATGATCTTCCACAGTCTCATAGATGCATACATGCCCTATACTTCCATTAAAACAGTAACCTCCCTGGAGACAGATAATTTCTTATTAATTTTATATTCACTCAGACACCAAGCACAGTGTTTCTGTTAAAACAGGAGCTGAAGCAAAACGGAATCTTCATTGTTGAATGAATGAATTAATTAAATATCTTTGCCCTAAGAAGGCTCCAGTCTAACCAGGAAACCAGCATGTTATATTTTCATTTAAAAAGATAACTAATGATTACAAGTCTATACAGGATAAGTGCCAAAGGATAATGGAAGCAAAAGTGTTACAAAAGTGCAGACAAGTGAGCAATCCTTTCTGCAACAGTTGAGGGATGCTTTTTAAGGAAGGAAAGGTTCAAGAGAAACCTTGAACAGATGAGTAGAACCCAAAAAAGTGAAAAAGGAGTCCCTTTTGGTAGCCATTAGTTAAAGAACACCATATGGGTTGATCTCATTCTTTATAGCTGCTGGATAATATTCCATAGCATGAATGTGCCCAAATTTTTAAAACATTCTCCTAATAATGGATACTTAGGTTTGTATCAGTTAGGATTAAGTTTGGATCCATGTTACAGAAAACCCAAATAAGAGTGTTGTAAACACAAGATACTTTATTTCTCTCTTGTATCAAAGAAGCCCAGAGGTTGACAATAAGGTTGGCATGTGCACTCCATGGTCTTCAGAGAGCATGCTCCATTTTTCAGCTCCACCATCCTATGACTTCTTTTTCTAAGGTTGCCTCACGAGCCCAGCCAACACATCTTGTTACGGACAACTGGAAAGAAAGAGGAAAAACAAAATGGCCTATCTCCCACCTAAATCAGATCCCTTTATGCAGCCTTCCAGAAGTTTCATACAATACTTTCAGTTCTATCTCATTGGCCAGAACTTAGTTATGTGACTATGCCTAGCTGCAAGGGAAGCTGAGACACGTGGTGTTTTACATGAGTGCATTCCTCTCTCAAACAAAATTTAAGAATTTGTAACTAAAAAAGGATAATGGATATTGGGTAGCAGCCAGCACTGAGAGAGCAAAACTGCTCAGCAAGTCTTGCCCAGCCAATAAGTAAGCACACACATCATCTTCTATAATCAGGAAAAAGAAGAAAAAAAAGAAAAGCAGCACTTCAGACCCTGACTCTGAAAAAAACGTGGAAAAAAAACCAGGCATTACATCTGGTTCTACTCCCTAAAATAGAAGAAACCTTAATGCCATTTGTGTAAATGACTGACTCCCTAACAAAACAAAATTTTTCCCTGAAGTTTACAATAGTCTTATGATAATCATGTTCATTTTCCACCATGAACAAACTAACCTGTCACCCTGTAGGTTTTTACTTTGAATATTTGTTGTATTTTTTAGTCAGCAAGCTAGTACTGAATTTGAAGTCCCCTGCAGAAATTTGCGTAAACTGTTTCTCTTTTCTTTTTAAAGATTTTATTTTTCCTTTTTCTCCCCAAAGCCCCCCGGTACATAGTTGTATATTCTTCGTTGTGGGTCCTTCTAGTTGTGGCATGTGGGACGCTGCCTCAGCGTGGTTTGATGAGCAGTGCCATGTCCGCGCCCAGGATTCGAACCAACGAAACACTAGGCCGCCTGCAGCGGAGCGCGCGAACTTAACCACTCGGCCACGGGGCCAGCCCCTCTCTTTTCTTTAACTATGTTTCTTTTCTTAATGCTTCTGTGCCTCTAAATCTTCCTTTCACAGGAGTCTCAGCCATAAGATCATTTCTAGTTTTTCACTATTATAAATGATGTTGCAGTAAATAACTTGTAAATGCCACCATGAATACATAGTGACAACTTCTCAAACTTAGATATCTAAAAAAGCACTTGCAGAAACAAATGATACACACATTTTTAAAACATTCTACCAAATTGCTATTCAAAGAGTTGTATCAGTTTACATTCCCACCATCATTATATGCACGTCCCTGATTTCCCACACATCATTAACACATGAGATTATCACTCTTTTTTTATTTTTAACAAATCTGATGGATAGAAAATGCCTCATTATTGTTTTAATTTGCATTTCTCTAATTACTATCAAATTGGTAATTATAGTCTAAGATGAGCATCTTTATTATGTTGGTATCAGCCATTTGTATTAATTATTCTTTGAATTGTCAGTTATCCTCTGCCCATTTGGAATGTCTTCTTACTGATTTATAGGAGTTCTTTACATACTCTGGATATTAATCTTTTGTTATAGATATTATTACTACTTTCTTCCAATCTATCACTTAGTTTTTACTTTGTTTATGGTATCATTTGTTTTACAAACTATTAAACTTTGATGTAGTCAAATTTATCAGTCACTTCTTTTCTGACTTCTGGGGTTTTGTCTTGTTAGAAAGACCTTCCCATCCCAAATTACAACATATTGTCTTCTAATACTTGTAAGGTTTGCCTGTTATATTTAAACTACATGGAATTTATTTTTATATATGGTATAAGGTAGGATTTTCTCTAATTATTTTGCTAAAGGGGTAACCAGTTGTCCCAACACTATATACTGAATAATCTATTCACTCCCCTACTTTGAAATGTTATCTTGACCACATGTTAAATTATCACCCAGAATTAAGGCTATTTCTGAACTTTCTTTCTCTGCTCTGTAGATCCATCTGTCCATCTGTCCACCAATACTACAAAGTTTTAATTACCAAAGCCTTATAGTATGTTTTGACGTCTGGTAAATCACCCTCCTCACTATTGTATCTTTAAAAGAAAAAAAAAAGAAGTTGACTATTCTCATAAATTTTCTCTTCCAGATGAATTTAAAAATCAACTTACTAAATTCTATTTAAACATCCTATGGAGTTTTTTTATTGAGATTGCCTTAAATTTCTAGATTAGAGATTTCTCATTTTAAGAGCACTTGAATGTTTTCAAAATTAGCATATATTTACCAAGCAGCTACTATGGGCTGAGTTCTGAGAGAAATGCAAAAGGTTTTAAGATGGTCTTTGCCCTCCAGAGACATACAACCTGATTAGGGGGAACAAGATATAAACAACTAGTGCATTAACTGACCAATATCTATTATAGAACTAACCTTGCGGCTCACTTATAGTCTTTACAGTATGCACTTTGAGGCTTATTTTTTTTTTTTTTCGCCTCTGATTTTACTTCTGCTTTTGGGTTTCTGTGTGGTTTTTTTGGCCTTTTTTTTTTTTTTTTTTTTTTGTCTTTTTAAACACTTGACAACACGGTGTGTATATTCATAACCGATTTATTTTCTACAGTCACCCTAAGTAAGAAGTTTTATTACCATCTCCATTTTACAGATAAGAAAACTGAAGCTCAAAGAAGTTAAGTAACATTCCCAAGATCACAGAGCAAGTAGGTGGAAGATAGCTAGGATGTGAAACCAGGTTTCCCCGACTTGGGCCGCCATAGGGCCTCCTCTTCTTCCTTCCCCCTTTTAAGTTCTTGCTACTTTGTCAAATGCAAAAATCATCTCTGAAATCAGAATAGGGAATGAATATGTAAACAGCATCTGGCTTTGTTTCCTGTTTCATCTTCTCTACACGTGCCCAGTGCATAATAAAATCGTATGCGGGTGACGAAGCCATGCTTTCCTCTGCCGCTGTCAGGCTGGACCTGCCAGAGTCGCTCTCCTTCTTTTCCCTTAACCCAAGAACAGGATCCAATACAAAGCTTACAGGGCCCTGTGCACTACGAAAACGTGGGGCCCCTTTTTCGACAAGTATTAATAATTTCAAGAGGGGAGAGCTGACCATTCAGGGAGGCACAGGGCCCTTCTAGGCACTGGGGTGGGGAGGGCCCAACCACAGGCGCGCTCCGCCCACGAAGCAGGCCCTGGCCAAGTGTGTCTTTTTTCTAACCTCAGTCCCTGGCTTTGCAGATTCACAGCCCTGCTCCGATGAAGAAGGCTGCTCAGAAGTCTTCCTCCCTACCGACAGCGACTACGACTCCAGCGACGCCTTGAGCCCCCGAGACCTGGACCTGGTCTACCTGTCGTCGCACGACATCGCCCAGCAGGCCCGAAGCGGCCTCAGCGGCAGCGCCCCCGACGTCCTGCAGGTGCACGACATGAAGACTCCCTTGGGGCCGAGCCAGGATGCCCAGCGCCGGGGCCCGGGGCCGGATCCCGACCACGCGTGTGCCGAGTGCCTCCACAGCCTCAGCCTCACGGGCTTCGCAGCCAAGAACCACGCCAAGATGGCGCCGGGCGCGCGGCCGCCGCTGGGCTTCCTGGGAAAGCGGAAGCCGGCCAAACACCCGCACTACGGCGGCTTCAGCCGCCACCACCGCTGGCTGCGCATGCACAGCGAGACGCAGTCGCTGTCGCTGTCCGAGGGCGTCTACACGCAACACCTGTCCCGGGCATGTGTTCTGACCCAGGAGCCCAGGGAGGCCGAACAGCTCAGACCTGCCCCTGATGGGCCGCGAGGCGTGGCTCTGGCACACGCTGCGAGCCTCCCTGAGGAGCGGAAGAGCAGCTTTCAGGACCCGAGGCCTTCGGTCCGCCGCATCTACGTGGAGCCCTACCCTGCCGCCCTGGTGGACGCAAAGCCCTGGGCCGGCTTGAGCCCGGCCCCTGGAGGCCACTCCCGCCTGCCCAGCCCCTCGGGCCCAGAGATGAGCCCGGAGGGTCCCACCACCTCCCCAGTGTCAGAAATACTCAGCAGCATGCTTTAGGGAGGTCCGCAACTGGCTGTCGACGTTCCACAGCAAGTCCCTGCATCTTCCATCACCCTACCCCATGCCTGCCCCTACCGTGTCTCCATCCATTTTCAAATGGTTTGAATGTTAAGAATCTAAAGGTTACAGGTGCAAGTCCCTCTTTTTTAGAGTTGGGGTGGAGGCCAGAATTGCCAGTGTCATTCCCAGTTCAGCCTACACAGGGCATAGAAGAGCTTTTGTATCAACAGGAGTCCTCGACACAACAGTTCAAACATGCCACCCTGTTGGTGGCACCTTTGTCTGAGGTAGGGTACCCCAGGGACCTACCCTCAGTTCTGCAGCTGACTCTGTAATCTGATTCCTCGGTTTAGGACTCCCACAAATTTGCAATCGATGGGAGGAGTTCTGTAGAAGAAAATAAGATTAGCGTTGTTTTTCCTTCCATTCCAAACCTTTAGAAGAGTTTGGGCGAAAATGCCCAGGTTGTGTCTCTAGGGCACAGGGTCAAGTGGACTAGTCCTGAGTTCCCTGTGGGCTAAACCAAGTCATTCCAAAGTGCAAGGTTCTCAGCAGCTCACCAAAGCCAATTTATCCATCAGCCCCACAGGGGCTGATGAGGTAGGCCTAAGACAGGACTTTTCTTTGCTTGATGCTGTATGGAAACCTCCAGAAACAAAAGTAGAGGATGCTTCTCCTCTAGCTCTGTCTTGCAAAGATAGACTAGGGCCGGAAACAACCCTTCCTGCACACTCAGCTTCCATTCAAGCATGAAAATGGGCCATATATTATTCCAGGGTGCAAGGAGACAGCTGAGTTAAGTGAAAGCCCGGATTATAGACAAGACAAGGGAAGGAAGACAGTCATAAGCAAAAATGTATTTCCTTTACAATCCTAAAATAAGTAAGTCCATGGGGGCTGTGTCTGAAAATGACAGTGCATCTGCTCCAGATTCTTAGGTAATGGAAGTGTCATTGAACAAGAAAGTAAATACCCTTCAGACATGGCCAGGCAGTGAGGGAGTCCTTACAGCCATACAGGCACATCTACCCACCCACACATCCTTGAGTTTCTGCCTTCCCCTTCTCAAAGGGCCCCTTCCAAAGTCAGTTTTGCCCTGAGATCAGCTAGCCCCCTGGCCTCAGGGAAAATCTTTCCTTAGAAGGCACTGTCAGTGGCTTCAAGACTATGCTCACAGACACCTTAAAAATCCTGCTTTGGTCTCATTGCCTCCACCTGCCTTTCTCACAAACTAGAAACCGGAATCAAAGAGAAATCACAGTGCATATTCAAAAAAGGCATGAGCCTTCTCTCATTTCCTAGAGCCAAGACCCATTCAGTTCACTGATATTCTAAATGGTCCTTTTCTGCTTAACAGGCATTTTAGTTAAATATTGCTCTTTATGGCCCTACCCCTATCCTCACAATTCTCCCATTCCCCGTCATGGGAGTTCATACAAAGTCCCCTGTTCGTGATGTTATTCTGATCCCTTCCATTTTTAAAACATTTCATTTAAACATAAATAATTACCCTGGCGGAAAGGTACAAATTTGGCCCGTGGCCTATGGTCATTAGAAAACTAAAGCCCAGAGCACAGTCTTTATTTTTTTAAGAGGTTTTATACTCAATGAACCTCCCAAAGAATCTTGATCAGAATCACTGCAGTTCCTTTTCCATGCCTGGGAGGACGTTAAAATGCAGTTTTCTTCTGTTCTAGGTGAATTCTATATGTATGGAGTGCTAGAGCTAAAAGGGACCATAAAATTAGTCTAAGTCCTCACCTTTACAAATGAGGCAATTAAAGTCCAGAGGGTTAAGTGACTTGCTCAAGGTCACAGAGCTTTAGTCTCAGAGTTAAGGTCAGGACCCAGAACGCTTCCCTTTACAGCAGGCTGTCCCACTGGGAATTGGTGCATACCTGGTCAACTCTTGACTGTCCATAGGCTATTTACCTAGTTTGCAGATCATCTATCTACTTCTATTTCCAAATTCAACTCCTTTTCTCAACTTTTACTTAACAGATTTCCAATATCACAGGGCTCCTTGTTGCCAGGAAATACAAATTTCACCTAATAGACATCTAAGCTAAGTTAATTAATTAAAAAGCAAATTTGGACAAAAGTCATTTCAAATTACATACCATATGACTCCTCTTTAATAACAAAAATGACAAAGTCATCTGCACTCATTTTCTACTTATTTCTAATTATAAGACAGATTACACCTGTTGAGTGCGTTTGTGAGATGACATGCTGCAACTGTCAAGAACTAAGGAACCAAGTGATTCTCTGATCATGACCTTTCTGATGGCACGGAAGGAAGTTTGTGACTGTGAATTAGATGGGAGCATTCAACAGGCAGCAAAAGCAGAGACTGACCCACCCTTCTGGCCCCTCATTTGTCAGCAAGTTCTGGCACACTGGACGAAATAATGACTCATGAAGTAAAATTGCATTAAATCCAAACCCACTAATATATATTGGGGACAAGGGGTTGTTTTTTTCACCTTCTATGAGGAAAAGAGATGCACGCCCAAGAAACGAATAATGCACATTAGATTCTAAAGGGCGTACTTAACCAACTTGAAAATGCATTTTCCTAGCAATATTCCTGTGTAAAAGTGAATGTTATATCCTCCCTAATTAGCTATTTATTCGAGTAGGTTCCCTCCAGCTGTACTTCCACTTTGCAACATCTTATAAGCCTAATTTAAATCAATACATTCTTTTTTTTTAAGTTGCTTGAACTTAAATGCAAGTTAATTTCTTTTTTTTTTTTGATTGACACCTGAGCTAACATCTGTTGCCAATCTTCTGTTTTTCTTCTTCTTCTTCTTCTCCCCAACGCCCCTCAGCACGTAGTTGTATATTCTAGTTGTAGGTATTTCTGGTTGTGCTGTGTGAGACACCACCTCAGCATGACCTGATGAGTGGTGCCATGTCCGTGCTCAGGATCCCAACCGGCAAATCCCTGGGCCGCCAAAGTGGAGCACACGAACTTAACCGCTCAGCCATGGGGCGTGCTCCTAAATTAATATGTACTCGTGAGAGACAATTGTGTTTTCTGATTCCCAGTCCTTTATTCATTTGTCCAGTCTTCTCATTATAGAGACTTTACAATGTCTGGGGAGTTTTTGTTTGTTTTGTTTAGTGCTATTGGTTTGGTTTGGTTTGGTTTTGGATATGATGGATTTTTCTCTTTTGTTATTTTCAACCCCAACCTGGGAGCCTCTGGAGGAAACTCTCCTGTCCCAGATCTTCTTTTCCATGATTTTTCTAACATGCTTAACTCTCACTCGTATTATCCAGCCTTCATCATTTGTGAAAACCGCCAAAAATCAATGACCAAGGCCCTGCCATATGTCTGTCTCTATTCTGAGTCTCGCGAGGCACGAAAGAATCAAGTATGAAGCACTACTGGACCACAAGGAGCTCACAATCTCATATGAGTGTAGCCATTGTCACCATACATCTTCACATCAATGTCTAAGAAGAGTCGTCAGCCAGGCTGACATAGTGCATGTTGGGCTAGGCATCTTGATTTCACTCGCTCTGTCTCTTCATCAGGAGGACAGCCCGGAAAATGTAAGTCACCGATGTATATGCTTGGCAACCATTTACAAGGCTATCACATCTTAACTAATCTTAATTGGTGAGGGTACCTGGGAGACAGTAATTAAAAACATTCACTCTAGGGAACGGGTATTTTAAGAAGTGGATACTTAAAGATGAGACCTATTCCATTTTAAGAACATTCACTAATGCTCAAAGCAATAACTACACTGGAGAAAATGGTTCCATTTGGTTTGAAACTTGAAGCCAGTTAGTAATAATATTCCTACAGCCCCATTCCTGAAGGATCCCAAAGCACTTTATGAAAAGCAATGACTGAAGCCTTGTTGTACTCCCCTAAAAAAACCTTGTCCAGGAGCCACCTGGCAAACACCTACCATATCCTTGCCAGGAGATCATGCCAGACAAGTGGAAAAGAGGACTGGCCTCTCATTCATTGTTATCCTGCCACAGGAACATGCACCCCGAGTGTTCAGCTCTTCCCTTGAAGACAATAGTTTTAGACAAGGAGGCATACTAGAAAACCCCAACTCCTTGGTTTCATATTCTTCTTCACGATCCACCCGAGAGGTACTCACTTTCTCTTGGAGAACTATCAACTCAAACTGTTAAGGGGTCTGCAGTGCATTTAAGTTTCCCAATTATGTCAACAGCACACAGAATTCACTGGCTTCTTAAAATTGATGCTTTTTGGAAAGATGATGCCATTATTCTACAGCTCTCTCCACTTCATATGTAGCAGAGCTACAGCAGAGTGTGCATCTCTTGGTCTATTTGTTTATTGAGCTATAACATACCAATTAGAGAGGATAGTTATAGATTAACAAGAGAACACTCTCAGAGAATTGAAAGTGCTACTTTGTCACTTTACAAAGTCTACATATCTTTCCAGATGATTCAGTGAAGCAAATCTGAATTTTTTTTCCTGGTCACACTTTTAAGGAAATTTTTTAAGGAGCTATTTGGAAAGTAATGATACCTCTTCACAAGAAGTAGGGTGAACGAGAAAAAAAACTTGTTTCTTTACCAGTCACCTCTCATAAGATGTTCAAATACATGGCTTATGACTGTTAAGCTAAACTTCAATGCGGCCTTACAAACAACAAGAGTAGTGTATTTGAAACGATGTTGTACAGCTTGGAAACTTATGCTAAGATCTTAATTCACAGTTTTTCTGAGGTGTTGAACTTTGCCATTAGCAAAAATTATTTTTAGAAAAATCCATTGACTGTTTATGAAGTACTGATTTTGCCAGATTTCGGGTCTCTGGTTTTTCCACCACATCTGCACACAGTAGTTATATTTGTTTTTTTCAATTATTTCTTCTATTTCCATTAATAATGAATTTGTAAAATGGTCATTCAAAAGGACAGTTGGTTTTGTTTAGCAATCAGATAGGTAGACTGTGAAAATATTCTGTTTTGTTAAAACAAGTAGCAGGTTTGTTGTTGTTTTAAATATTATCCTAGGGTCTTTCCTCTCCAGATATATGCATTTTCTATTTTAGAAAAAGCCAATATTTAACTTAGTGGCAAATGTTATGAAGCTATTAATTAGTGCTTTTTACTCCTCCT